GAGGTAGAGAAGAACATTCGCCCTTGTCCCGAAGAAATTGTGCAAGGAATATGGGATAATACGTCCCGGCCAACAATACAATCACGTGGCAACCCCTTAACAATTCTTACCCGGTGCCAACAGGTTGCATCTCCGAGTTCCAACTGAACAATTGCTGATGCCACGGCTTCCAGTGGCTGTCCGTTGGCGCCAATCAACTTCGGGCCTTGGTCAGAGGTTTCCTTTTCCAGCTCCTTAGGTCGGCGGTCAGCAAAATCCTCTGACAACAACGTAGCGGCGGATCCTGTATCAATCAGAGCGTCCACTGGACATCCATTCACCGCTCCAGGAACCAACATGTCCGTACGCTCGCTCCCACATTCATCCAAACAAGACAGAACACAAGGATTAGGCAACTGATAATCGTTACAAACAGGTTCTTCTACCAGGACCTCTGGTGTCCGGACCCCCTCAACAACAGCAGAACACGTTTGAGCCCTCCAATTTTCCGAAACGGCAGAACCCATTGGAGCCCTCCAATTCTCGGAGGTACTAGATCCCTTAGTGGACCCCTTTGATCTACAAGTAATACGATGGGTTATTGCGCCTAACGCCCTGGTCTGCTCTGCTGTCAATCCCCGGGGGCGGATCCCGTGCTGAGGGCCTGGGGGTTTCTTTACTTGACCGACATCACTACCCCGTGTGCCGGTCACTGGAAGTTTCCCTGGCGGTTTCCCCTGTTCGAGGGTACATTTCTCCAAACCCGGTTACTTCCCCCCGGCCCCTCACGGTCATTTCTCCCAAATGGGGGAACAGAAGGCACATTCGGTCTGACAGCTAACAATTTATCAAGTTTCTCTGTCATCAGTTTCATTTCCGATTCCATATCGGTCAGTCTACGCTGCACGGATGGCGGACAGGGGGACACAGGAGCACTGGCTGCGGCTACTAACTGCATGTTTAGAGCTTCATGTGATTCTTGATGGACAGCGGTCAAATCCGTACCGTCCCATACCCTCTCTAGATGCAAAGCATACTCCAGGGCCTCATCCACATTAAAGGTTGGGTTCTCTAATACCCGTAATCGCAAATTGGAGGGAGAAAGCCCATCAATGAATTGGTCCCTCAACAATTCCCCCTGATTGTCTGCAGTCATCGTGGGATAAGCTCGCACCACCAACCGTCTTAAATCATCACAATAACGGGCTAGTGGTTCCCCAGTCTGGCGGCGTCTGCTCTTAAATTGAGCTTTGAGCTGACGTCCATTACCAATGGGGGCAAATCGGCGACCCATTTCTTCAAGTAGCCGCGGCCAGTCCCTCCTATGTCCTAAGGGAAGGGTGGTATAAAATCGTTGAGCCGCCCCCCTTAGTCTGACCCCTGGAAACTGTGCCCGTACTGCCTCAGTCCACCCATTTATGTTTGCACATTCCTCGAAACACAGGTTATACTCTTCCCAATCACCCTCACCGTTAAAAGCCTCTGGCATGATGAGCGGCCGATTGGGTTGGACATCCCCTCCATACCCGCCGAAGTAGGCGGCAGGGTGCCCTGGGAGCACTGGCATCGGAGCCGGTTGAGCCGCGACACCTGGAAGAGGACCTGGAGGAGCGAGCGCGGCAGCAAGAGGAGCGGCAGCAGCAGCAGGAGCGGCAGCAGCAGCAGGAGCAGCAGCAGCAGCAGGAGCAGCTGCAGCAGAAGCAGCAGCAGCAGCAGCAGCAGGAGCGGCAGCAGGAGCAGCAGCAGCAGCAGCAGGAGCAGCAGCAGGAGCAGCAGCAGCACCAGGAGGAGCAGCAGCAGCAGCACCAGCAGGAGCCGGAGCTCTTCCGGCGACGGGACCACCGGCAACAGCAGGTTGCGGGGCAGCCGCCGCGGCAGCCATTTGGGCACGGGTTCCTCTCTGTGCCATTCTAGAAGCAAAAGAGAACAAGAAGAATAGCAAAAGAAGAAGAAACGGACGGAGAGCCAACACCAAAGAACAGAAAACACTACCACTCGGTGGAACGAAACTGGCAACTGAGGACGATTTCCAGCTCGTTCCACCATTTTTACCAGAACCCGATGCATTGCGTTACCGTACGAACATACAGCACAACAATCCCTTATCCAATACCAGGTACGATGCAATCGATTGTACCCGGTGGCACCCTCAGGGTCGTTGCGCCGCATGCGACGGCGCGTACTCCCATACCGGGAATGCTGCACCATTCCACGAGTCGTACGTTCCGTCATAATCGCTCATCATAGGAATGCCATACCCAACAAAAATAAATAAAGAAATAGCCAAAAAGGGAAACAAGTCACCAAATATGAAAACGACAACCATTCACGCAGGCATGGGTACTCACCGACCTGGCTGAGGTTCGTGACGGTCAGTCCTGATCTTCGAACCTCAGCCAGTTTCCCTCGGTCCGACGGAAGTACTCGTCCAAGGACATGTCCGTCGTTGACCAGTCTTGAAGATCCTCCAAGCCAGAGTCGACGGCCGAGGTGTCGACGGACCGAGGGGCCGGGGTGACCACCATTTCGCCACTGTCGTTGTTGTGTTGCTGTCGTTTTTGTTGTTTCTTTTTCGCCCGGAGTTTGAGCACACGCTCCCAGTTACGCCGTTGGCGAGATGGCGAGGCATGTTTCTTCTGCTTGGTTCGGGCGGCGGTGTCCCGAACCGCCCGGGACCGTGGCGACTTGTCGGCGTTCTGCCGTCTCTTTAAATTTTGAAATTTTCTAAGTGCCCGTCGGCCATCACAGTTGCGATGCGGGGCGGCGGCGTTCCGTGCCGCCCGTAGTTGCACCGTCAGGGTGTGACGGGTCCCTACAGTACTGAGGACAACAGACACAAAGCACACAATAGTATCGGATCCTGTTCACTGCGCCAAATGTCGTAGTCCGGCGGCCCGGAGTTAGGCCCCGGAGCCGCGGCACCAACATGACTAATCTACAACTATCCCATTACAGGCCGTGCAGTGGTGGCCGTAACTACAATTACATTATTAAACATACCGACACCACATACACTCGCACATCAGACATATTTAGACATGTTCGGGTCACACCACACCTAGACACACACTCACTCGCCGCGCCATGCCCTCACATGTACAGCACCCGCATTCACATACTTACACACATATACACACACACACACACACACACACATACACACACGCCTATACTTTCACATCGAGACTCACATCTTGCGGTCAGACATAATATCAAACGATACTTATCAAAACGAGAGGGAAGAAAGTCGTGACTTGCCGTAAAGACGAAGTTGCGAGAGAGAGAGAGAGAGAGAGAGAGAGAGAGAGAGAGAGAGAGAGAGAGAGAGAGAGAGAGAAGGAAAGTCATCGCAATAGTATCTAGTTGCGGCCATGGAAGTCCATGGCCACGAGATTGCTGGTCCCGCATGCAATAGCGTATCACCGTAATAAATATGTGTACGAACTGTTGCATAAAGAGCGGGAGCCATGTGGGGAAATAACAGCGTAGACCAAATAAGGGAGGCCTCGGGCCTTGTGTGAAGATATAAAATAAAGACGATTATGAACCCGTTTACGGGAGATAGATAAATAATAAAACAACTAAATAAGGCATACTTGTCCCGTAGAGGCCTAAAAGGCACGTGCCAATCGTATGGATACGACACTTAGATATGGCAATGGAAGCATTAGAGTGGCTTCTAGTTCTAAGGCCTGTTGTGATCGATGGAAATAATTCCGTTAGGGTAGGCAGTGAGATGATGACATGATTTCTATGAATAAACTGGGCAAAGTTGAGAATCATATAGTGTTCAAATGGATAAATCGCCAATGTGGTCAATAATGGCGTGATGTTGTCCTGTGACTTAGCACCACAGGCAGCTCGCACAGCACGGCGGAACACAGTAGAGAGCCTTTGGCGGTCCTTAGCGGACAGCTTCGTTACAAAACACGAACAACAGTACAAAAGATCAGGTAGAATGACTGATACAATAAATTGCATCCTGGCCTTCCTGCTCAATTGCTGAAAGGACCGACGAAGAGCGCCAACCTTAGCATATTTAGCAGACAAGATTGCGGAACGACTCCACGTAGGATGCAGCTGCGAATATGTCGATCAGTTCTCCGCACTCGTCAGCTATTCTTTGTCATTATAGCTGCTTACTTCACTATTTCAAAACTATTCAAACAGCCCACCCACCTTCGAATGCTGAATATTCATTGTACACATACATCGTATACATACATTCCACCAATTTGGAGTACAACTTGTATATTGGTGTATACATCCGTTTAGAATCGGAACATTGAACTTTTTCTTGGCTGAGGTCCTTCAGTAGATGTGGTTCAACAAATTTCTAACCAAAAAGGAATTTTGAAAATGTTGACCCTAAGGGCTGTTTTCGCTGGTTGAGGCCCATATTATGAACCCGGGAACCAACAAAGGTGGCAGGTACAACATTACACCTTTAAGCAGCCGATTCCGTTGGCAACAGACCGAAGACCATCAGGCATAAGTGTACCCACCAACCGAACTAGCTGGCACCACACACACACAAGCACGCACGCATGCACGCACGCACGCATGCACGCACGCACGCATGCACGCGCGCGTGCGCGCACACACGCACACACACACACACACACATACACACACACACAACGGTTCTGTCCTTTGTGGCCTCATCAATACAGCACTGGAGGAATGGGGCTCATCCTGATAGCATTGAAAAGTTCAAAGCTGAAGAATTGACCAATACTACCCAGCCTGGTTTACAGCGCACAGCCTTTAAAGTGTTTTTGTTTTTCCTGCACCGTTTCTTGATATGTGTTCCTTGTTAAGACAATACGTAATAAAACACCGTGGACATAGCACGGCATGTTATGAAGACCACATGGTTAACTTCTTCGACACCGTTCATTTTTTTCTCCCAATATGTGAACAGACTGTACGATGAATACTTATTGGCCAACAGGCTAGTATGATTTCCACCCGGTCAGGATTGTCAAGTTATGAATATGATCTCTACTGTGTATCTATAGGTTGCTATACCAGATCACTATAGGTCCATTCGTAATACATTTACATCATTTGGTAGCCGTGGTAATGGCTGTGCGCAGTTCTATAGCCCACGTGGCATCACAATCAGCAACGATGGAAAGGTCGTTATTGCTGATCCTGGCAATCATCGGGTGAAGGTTAGTTTATAGAAACCAGCACCCAGATCTATCTCATTACACAATTTTCCTCATTTTCTTGATGTATAGCAACACATGTAAACTGCAGCTGCAACATTGCTATGCAGTAAGTCATTGATCTGGTAGATAATGTAATCAACCCACATTTCCTTATGATCGTTTCTCCTGTCCTAAAAGCGATGAAACATTTGGAAAGTGTGACACTTTCTCTTGGATCCCCATATTCTATTTGCATATCGGAGCTTCGGGCTTCGATATAACAGTGTAAACCTACCTAAAATCGGGTTTTCCTTTGCTCAAGATAGCATTTCAAAACACCATTACATGTATACTAAAAATTGGGAAAAAACAATTTTTCGTAAAAGAACGCTGCCCCACACGTGATCCATCAGCTCAAACGCGGAAACTCTAGCTTCTTCTTCATCTTTTTTTCTTTGCTCGAGGAAGTGCTTAGTTTAAGTTTTCTGTTGTCTGAGTTTTCGGATTGGAATGCGCACCTCAGGATGTTTTTCTCTAGTCCAGCAGGCTCTGGGTCATGCCTTGCGCCCACTGGAGAGGTGTATGGCATCCCTGGAATGCCACAATAGTCGATGCGGGTGTGAAATTTGGAGTCCAAATCTAGGCAAGAGCATGTCTCGCGAATCGTGGATGGTACATGTACCCCGGAAACCTGATAAATAATCCCACACTGAAGCCACTTGCTGCTCGGTCCACCTCGAGAGAGCCACCTAGGCTGCAACCTCTGCTCTCAAACCTGTGTGGTCCTGAAGATCCAGCAGGTCTGGAGCAATTAAGCCACCTGTCGCTTGTACGACGCTACCTGGTGTGGCTACTGTTGACTTGGACTCTCAGTCTGGTAGCAAACATAGTCTGGTGTCCGAGTGTATGGGTACCAACACTGACTGGCCAGTGGATGCTGGAGATGAGGAGGAAAACGGGTTTACCCTTTATGTTTTGTACGAAACTGCTAAGCTTCCCGGGTCATGTCTTCGCTCAGAACTCCGACGCAAATCCCGAAAGGCTATTTCAAGGGCTGATGTGTACTGCGTGTACTGACTATTGAAAGCCAAGGAATAGCTGCTGACGCCCACAACCTTCCCACCAAGGGCTAAAGCATACTGCCCCGGCGCCAATCTCGTACCGCCCAGCGTGTGCAAACGAACGACCTACGGGGCCAAGAATTCTCCCACCAAGGGCTCACATAACTACCTGGCATGAGGAGTCACACCACACACAAACAGCAATCCTGATGCTCGCTTGCATCCCCCACCTCCATTCGGGAAGAAAACAAGGTGGCAAATGAAAGAAAGAGCAGAGACAAACAAAGTAGAGACGGTGGGGTAGTGGGGAAAAGTAAAACGTAATTTCAGCAAATCAAGAAAGAAACTAGAATTTAGGACAGCTCCTTCATATACAGACAGTTTTTGAGAACGTCAAGACATATCTGTCGATTTGAAATCATAAAAATGCCTGTAAAAATTGGCCAACTTCGGTCTTCTCGACAACCGGTGGCATGGGCAAGAAATCTGGCTCGCTTTACAAGCGTAGAGCATCCCTCATTGCTAAGAAAAGCAGCGGACCGTATTCGGTGGACATGGCATTCATCCGCTGCCGCCTTAGCTTTGCTTTGCTCAGAGCAAGTGTCATGTGCCTGCGTGGTAGCTGCTCTGTTTTCGCTGCGCATGCACCTGTCTCTTCTTCTGCCTCTCTAGTTGCTGCCGAAGCTGGCACTTCCCGTCATTAATTTTGTAGTCTTTAGTTCTTCAATATTATTATTTGCCATGGCGCCCCCCCCCCCCCCTGTAAGCCCAAATAGCTGGCAAGGCAGGGTTGGGCCTTTTTCTTTTACTTTGCATGTGTAGTAGTTTCACGGTTTCTGCATTACACACTTTGTAGCACGATTTCAAATTTTGAAAAGTAAAAATTGGCCAACTTGTAAACTGTGCCGGGACAGCAATATGACACATACTCATATCACCAGCACTGTGTCTATAATGCCCGTGTGCATGGGCTAACTAAGCTTTCCTGTACAAAGCCCACATCTTTTCTAATTCGTGCAATTCTTGCATGAGTAACTGAGCTTATGTATGATGCAGACATACTGTATCATTCTGTACTGGGAAACGTTTGAAATGTTAAAATGAAGTTTTGTCCATGCTCTTCTTTTCTGTTGCTGTATTGTGTTGTGATATACATGTATGTACCTGTAGTTCACCACACTGGATGGTACATTCATACGTGATATAGGCAGATACGGCAGTGGTAATGGTGAATTCAACACCCCCACTGATGTAGCTGTGGATGACGTTGGTGATCTTGCGGTGGTTGACAGGAACAACAGGAGACTGATGGTAAGATCTATGATTGATTAGTGTGGTTCCACTTCTGTTTAAGTACACAATGTTGACTGGAAGTTCAGTACAGATACCAGTCTTCCATTGTTCACATGGTAGTGTACAGTATGATCAAGGGTAACCAAGCTACCAAAAGTGTGCAACTCTTGATACCCTTTCTATGGAGTCATGCAAAGGCAAAAACTCATATCACGTGGTCGTCAAGTCTGGGTGCGCAGTCTGGGTGGTTAATGTGGCTTAGTCTGGGTGCTCACAGTATGGGTGCTCAGTATGGGTGGTCAGTTTGGGTGCTCAGTCATGATGGGTGGTCAGTTTGGGTGCTTAGTTTGGGTGGTCAGTTTGGATGCATAGTTTGGGTGGTCAGTCTGGGTGCATAGTTTAAATTGGGTGGTCAGTCTGGGTGCATAGTTTAAATTGGGTGCATAGTTTGGGTGGTCAGTCTTGGTGCATAGTTTAATTTGGGTGGTAAGTCTGGCTTAGTCTGCGTATTCATGTAGTATGAGTTCAACTGCGGTCCTCGTTAATATTTCGAGCAGTTTCACTCTTCCTGCCACAGTGGCTATCATCCTCCCTCTCCATTGTCCAAATACGTATTGATATGTCGCTGTATCAAAATTAATGATCGACATCTGTATCCATGCGAAATTATATCTGCAAATTTGTTTTTTAACGCCAGATTTCCCAGAAAGTGCTCGCATACTGGGCAGCTAGTGCATACGAGTATCACAGGCGTGCAACACTCCCATCAGAAATTCAAAAATTTCTCTTAGGTTGCTATCAGCCCACCTACTTCCGGTGCATGCGCAGTTACATCATGCATTTTTCAGGTACCGGATGGCCGCGACTTTGCTCCGAAGAAAACTTCCTCTTTTCGATTCTTTAACTCCCAACTTGATTGCGTAACTGAAATCCTCAGGTGCACAACTGCTACAACGTGATTTTCTACTTGTACGACGAGACATCAATGCATATGTGTTACTCACGTGCACTAGCTGGTCAGTACATGAGAACTTTTTGGGCCATATTCGCCTCTGTTGCAGTCCTTGCTGATTTGTTGTTCTGGAGCAGTTCTTCTTTCTCGTCATCTTGGGCTGTTGTTCAGCAAGTGATGCTTCGTGTCACTTTGTGGCACTTTGTGGCACTTTGTCGCACTTTGCTTCATTCGAGTTTCTGCGAGGGCAGGGATTACTCCAATGATGTCTCAGTGATTGTATATGGAGGCGCTCCGTGTGTGCTTTCCAGCAACGCAATTGGATTCGACTAGTGAATGGCCATTGGAGAGTTTGAAATTTGAACATTTACTCAAGTGATTTTCAGTGGATAACTTTATTCAAGCCAACTTGTTGGCGCTTGGGGACATCAAAGTTTGTAGCAGAAGATGGTGGTCGTCTGCCCAAAATTTCAGGACGTAATCTCGCTGCTACTGGCCCTTCGAGATGGCCTTCGTATTGGCCACCACTGTACAAGTTGAATTGATCGATTCGTTCCAGGGACTCAGCAAGTCGCTAGTCCAAAGTTGGATGGCTAAACATTACTAGGTAACTTGGATCGGTGTGCGAACATCATTGGTTTGGCTGCACTGTGTTTTTGTGAGCAGCATTGCCCCCTCGTTCTTGTACCTTATTTCAGTGCGTATATATTATTATTGTGAAAAGAAGAAGGACAAAATGTTACGGGTTATAACTAACTGTCCGCCAACGTAACCAGATCTTATACAGTCAGCGAGTGCGACAAAATGGCACAAAACTGACAAGGAGTACTGAGACATTCGGCGACCTGACACCTAGCTCCAACACTTCTTCAAGGCGCAAACCAACAACAACATTTTTGTCGCACTCGCTGACTGTATAAGATATGGTTACGTCGGTGGACAGTTAGTCATAACTCGTTACATTTTGTCCTTCTTCTTTTCACAATAATTTAGTTGCCTCACCATCCGAGTTAAGTATATATTATTATTATTATTATTATTATTATATCACAGGAAGTGTGAGCTACAAAGTCTGAAGAAAATGTTGAACAGTCTCTGCTAGGATGACGACTACACCATAGCTCAGTGGTAAGAGCATCGCTAGCTACAAGCGAAGGTCCCTGGTTCGAGTCCTGGTGGTGACAGTCAACTTTTTCTTCAGACTTTTCGCGATTGTCTCTTTCCCTCAAACTAGTGAAGATTTTATGACTTGGGGCTCCCCGCGTGCTAGAGTGCACGTGAAGTGTGTGGGTACAGTGAGGGCTGCGTCCCACCCGCCTGTGTGGATTCACAGGAAGTGTGAGCTACGAAGTCTGAAGAAAATGTTGAACGGGCTCTGCTGGGATGACGACTACACCATAGCTCAGTGGTTAGAGCATCGCTAGCTACAAGCGAAGGTCCCTGGTTCGAGTCCTGGTGGTGACAGTCAATTTTCTTCAGACTTTTACCGTTTGTCTCTTTCCATCAAACTAGTGAAGATTTTATGACTTGGGGCTCCCCGCGTGCTAGAGTGCACGTGAAGTGTGTGGGTACAGTGAGGGCTGCGTCCCACCCGCCTGTGTGGATTCACAGGAAGTGTGAGCTACGAAGTCTGAAGAAAATGTTGAACAGTCTCTGCTGGGATGACGACTACACCATAGCTCAGTGGTTAGAGCATTGCTAGCTACAAGCGAAGGTCCCTAGTTCGAGTCCTGGTGGTGACAGTCAATTTTTTCTTCAGACTTTTCCCGTTTGTCTCTTTCCCTCAAACTAGTGAACATTATTATTATTATTATGGAGTTGGCTTTATTTCACTCACGTTGTCATGACATGAGGTAAGAACCCCATCACCGGGCCAAAAGAGACCACGGGTAATGAGAGAAAAAAAAATAGATAAATGGCCAACGCAATGAAGACCGAAGCAAAAAGGATTGTAAAAACCAAAGCAAAAATATTGAAAGCCGACGCAGAAACTGAGAGACGGACAGAAATAAGCAGAACGATGGAGGAGGCCAGGACATATTCGGATACAAAAAGATGGAGGAGGACAGGACATATTCGAATACAAAAAGAGTAATCACAAAAATGGACTACCAGTACAGGAATAGAAATAAAGGAAGAGATGAATGCCGGACATACTCAAATGGCAAGAGAAAAATCAGGTTGTGAGGACCGTCATACTGCACATTCATGGATGTCAAAGCAAATGCGGTATTGGAGGTTTATACGGACTAGCTCTACCCGTAACATGAGGAGCCTAATGCCGAATGCCAAGAACGGACTTGACGATGTTCAGCGTGCCCAGGATAGCACATTGCTGAGCCCTTTCAATGCGCAGAGTGCCTGCCAATGCCAACACAATGTGTGACAGGGACACACCAGTCAGTCCACCAAGCGCCCCAACAACCAGGGGCACAACGCGGACATCATCCACATGCCAGATGCGCCGCAGCTCTTGGCAAAGGGTACTTTGTTATTTTTTCGGCGATTTTTGTGGGAACATTCTGGTCCAATGGAACACTGACATCCATCAGCAGCACCTGTGTGCTGGACCGCAACACCAGGTCTGGACGGTTGTGGCGCACTTGCGTATCCGTTGGGATATTGAACTCCCACAGGAGCTTCATGTCAAGATTTTCCGTGACAGGCACAAGATGATGCTTCAGCGGGTTGCTTCCCGGCCGACCCAGACCATGCCGCTTGCATAGTGCCCAATGCACCAACTTGACGAGCGTGTCATGCCGTTCGATATACAGTGTTTTGGCTAGAGCTGGGCAACAGGCCACAATGTGATCAACTGTTTCTCCGCGAGTGCCGCAAACTCGACAAATGTCCACAACGTCTCCCCGTCCAATGACCGTGACCTGATAGTGCCTGGTCGCAATGGCCTGATCCTGTACAGCCAGCAAGAGTCCCTCTGTCGCAGGCCTGATCGTTGGCGATTTCAGCCAGCGAAAACTCAAGCCCAGGTCCAAGCCAGCATCAGAAGCTCGTCTCCAGAACTGGCCATGGAGAGGCTTACCTTGGATAACGGCCAGGCACCGGAGAGCAACGGCCTTCTTGACAATGACTTTTGTGGCAGTCTCCAGTGGCAGTCTCCAAGTCGGGTAGGTCAAGTTCACCCAGAAGTCTGGAGGCTTGACGTGTAACTGATTTTGACGGTGCCACATCATTGTCGTGATGGCGCTTAACAGCAGCCAACAGTGGCACGTTTGGGTGGGCTTGTAGGTACTTGTAGGTGGGCTTGTTATTATTATTATTATTATTACGAAGTAGTGGTTGCGACCTCGGCGATGATTTGTAAGAAAAGGGTTTGCTCCCCACACCGGAGCTCGCGCTATTCCGCCGACTTTACTTGACACTTGACTGACTCACGACTGCCATCCAGAGCACACGAGAAGTCCATCGAACCTTCGACTCGGCAAACCTGCAAGAAAGCACCACTCCCTGCTCAATACACAGTGTTTCGGGGAATTCACCCCTCATCAGTTGAGCTTGAGTAGGCTGAGGAAGATTGTGCCCGAGGAGCACCACTTATATAGTGCTCTCCAGGCACGACCATCACCAGGGATACAAACTTACAGAGACACTCCGTTTTCAGCGCGACAAACACCTCGTGAGTACCAGATAGCAGCGTGAGTCAGTGTCGCTGCTGGACGGTGAGACAGACGTCGAGGACCCTCGGTCATTCACAACGCTGTCACCTCCAAACCAACTAGTCGCAAGCCCGCGCTGGGCACAACAGTACGAAGTAGTGGTTGCGACCTCGGCGATGATTTGTAAGAAAAGGGTTTGCTCCCCACACCGGAGCTCGCGCTATTCCGCCGACTTTACTTGACACTTGACTGACTCACGACTGCCATCCAGAGCACACGAGAAGTCCATCGAACCTTCGACTCGGCAAACCTGCAAGAAAGCACCACTCCCTGCTCAATACACAGTGTTTCGGGGAATTCACCCCTCATCAGTTGAGCTTGAGTAGGCTGAGGAAGATTGTGCCCGAGGAGCACCACTTATATAGTGCTCTCCAGGCACGACCATCACCAGG